CTTTTATTTCTTTCTTTAGAGACTCAAAATTCTTATGGTACAGGTCTTTACCTTTCTTCCAATTTGTATTCCCTTGATCTCCTTTTGTTGTCTTATTGCTCTAGTTAGAACTTCAAGGACAATATTGAAGAGGTATGGAGAGAGTGGACAGCTTTGTCTTGTTCTTGATTTTAGAGGAATTACATTGAGTTTTTCTCCATTTAATTTGATGTTGGCTGTCGGCTTGCTGTATATTGCTTTTATTATGTTGAGGTATGTTCCTGTTATCCCTGATTTCTCCAGGACCTTTATCATGAAGGGGTGTTGGATTTTGTCAAAGGCTTTTTCGGCATCTAGTGAGATGATCATGTGATTTTTTTCCCTCAGTCTGTTTATATGGTGGATTACATTGATGGATTTTCGTATGTTGAACCATCATTGCATCCCTGGGATGAAGCCTACTTGATCAGGATGGATGATTTCTCTGATGTGTTCTTGGATTCAATTTGCCAGTATTTTATTGAGAATTTTTGCATCAATGTTCATGAGGGATATTGGTCTCTAGTTCTCTTTCTTTGTTGTGTCTTTTTGTGGCTTAGGTATCAAGGTTATTGAAGCCTCATAAAAAGAGTTTGGTAATGACCCTTCTGCTTCTATTGTATGGAATACTTTGAGGAGAATTGGTATTATCTAGATATTGCTTTTTTTTTTTTTATTTTTCGAGACAGGGTTTGCCTGTGTAGCTTTGGAGCCTATCCTGGCACTCTCTCTGGAGACCAGGCTGGCTTCAAACTCACAGAGATCCGCATGCCTCTGCCTCCCAAGTGCCGGGATTAGAGGCGTGCACCACCAATGCCCAGCTAAGTACCAGTATTTTCATAACCACTCTTGTCACATTACCTCTCAAAGGGCAAGGTGATTAACATTCTGGAATGAGCATAATAACATCACCAGCGATCATTCTTTTTAAACCATTGCATCTTCCTTGCTTCTAGTGAACAGTGATAATGCTCAACGTAATTGCTCGTTCTTTCCAAAAAAATCAAATATTCATTCATTCATTCATTGATTCATTCAATAAATATTCTGTGCCCCTATGTGTTAGACACTGTTTAGGGACTCAGATGCAGAGAAAACCCCACCTTCATGGGCATTCCATCCTGGAGGAGGGGACTGACAGTCAGCAATATAAACTGCTGACTATCAGTCATAGTCATAAAGGGATACTAGCTAGGGTAAAAATGGTGGGACAAGAATATGTAAAGCTATGAAACCCTGTAATTTTGGATAAAGTGGCAAGGGAAGCTTCTGCTAAGAAGTGGCTTTTGAGCAAAAAGCAAAAGATTGTTTGCCTTCTGTGGAAAGGTTTCCTAAGCAAAGGTCACAGGGGATACCACAACCCTGAGGTGAGAATGTTTATTGACATTTTTGAGGAAAATGCAGAAGGCAGTGCTCACTAGTGTAATGAGTAGAGGGGTCAGTGAGATAAGAAACAGGATCTGGAAAGTCCTTCAGGACATGGGAAACTGTTGCCTTCCCTTATGCATATGGATTCCTGAGTTCTTCCTTTTTGTTTTTGACCTTTTCTCTGGCAACACAATCAGTTTTGTAGTTCGAAGAGTTACATTCAGAATGGAAGGAGAAGGAAATAGGTCTGCCTTCTTTCCTTCCTTCCTTCCTTCCTTCCTTCCTTCCTTCCTTCTTCTTTTGATATTTCTTTTCTTCTCCTCCTCCTTCTTTGATTTTTGTTTTGAGATAATGTCTCACCATGTATCCTAGATTAGTCAAGTGTGCCACTGTTCTGCCTCAGTAACACTGCCTATGCCAGTACACTTCTCTACCCTAGGCTTTAAGACTGCTCTGTGTGTGTATGTGTCTGTATATGTGTATGTGTGTTTGTGTGTGTGTGTGTGTGTGCATGTGTTTGTATTTTCTTATATGTATGTGTGATTGTGTTTTGTGCATGTCGAAGCACTGGATGAGGTGTAGTAGAGCCTGTGCTCATGGAGAAATGAGTTTGCAGTAGACTCAGCAATGCTGAATAAGTTCGGTGAACATGGAACACACAGAGGCAGTGTCTACAAACTGTGTATGGCCTTGACATTTCTCTGTCTATCTCACAGGGGACTATCCAGAATATGTGTCCTGAGACTTTGATGAACACCTCCTTCCCCTACTGCCATACAGACATCTGTGCACAAACTCACAAAATAACTTCTGTTCACAGTCTGTACTCTGTCATAAACTTGCAACCCAGTGCTGAGTTGGATATAAGACCTCTGGGGAGACAGGACCTAGTGTGATGCTCAGAAAAGGTAGGATAGTGGGACAAACACCGTGGCCACACCTCACAGGTTAGATGGAGGGTTGGATTACTATAGTTAGAGGTTCACTGTTTTTAAAATGCTCACGGATACGAATATTAATACTTTCTTTTCTATTTTATCTGTTCTGCAGGTATAACAGGCAAAAACAGAAAAGTCATCTCTGTAACCTCAGAAAGAATTGACATTGATTGCTACAAAAGAAATGCAAAAACCAAGCAGGACAGGTTTGGAGGGTGTGTTTCACACTATTAATAAAGAAGAAATTCAAAAACAAAGAAATGGTACTTTAATTGGACAAGAAAATTAAGTAATATAAATGCTGACTTAAAATATAGATGGTTTATCCTTTCTCTAATGGGCATGACCTCTTGAACTCACAGCCCACTGACTGCTTGTTTTAGTAAATAGAACTTTATTGGCACAGAGCCACATGCCATTTGTTTATATATTATCTGTGGTCATTTTGAGCTACCAAGGAAGAGATGAATAGCTGTAATGAATACTGCATGGCCTTCAATGAATAAGATATTGTTCTATATTACTCTGTGGGCCTTTAAAAACCGTGTTTTAGCCAGAGGTGAAGAGGAGAGACGGGGAAAGCTAACGGGGTGGCAAATATGAGCAGACTAAGGTGATATATGTATGAACATGTCATAACAAAACTCATGATTTTGTATGCTAATTAAAACAATCGTTTTTTTTTTTGTTTTTTAAAAAGCATGCTGCCAGGTGTGGTAGCCTATGCCTGTACTCCAGCACTTGGGAGATGGAAGTGTGAGGGCTGTGAGTTCAAGAGGCCAGCCTGGACCATGGAATAAGATCCTGTTGAAAAAGAAAAGTGACAGAAAAAAAGAAGAGGGGAGTGGGAGAGAGAAGGTAGAGAAAGAACCTAGAGAGATACTGTATAAATAGCTTCATAAAAATCATATTTCTCTTGTCCATAAACTATAAGTGGTTATTTATCTTACATTAGATATATTTTACTTTTCTTTCTTTCTTTCCTGTCCTTTCTTTTTCTTTCTTTTCTTTCTTTCTTTCTTTTTTTGAGACAGGGTCTTGGCATGTATCCCTGTCTGGAGTCAAATTCTCTGTGTATCTCAGACTGGCTCAAACATAAGACAATACTCCTGCCTCAGCTTTCAGGTGTGGGAATTACAGGTGTGAATCAATATACCCAGCTCTCTTGGTAGTTTTAATAAATTTTCTGAAAGCCACTTCTTTCTGTTTGTGGTTTTGGGAGTCCAATTTAGGGTCTCTGGCACACCAGGCAAGTGTACCTTTGTACTACACCTCCAGGTCCAACTGAAGCAATTTCTGAGAAAGTAAAGGAAAAAAATATATTTTAATTTTTTTAATATTTACTAAAATAGACAAAATAAAATCCAAAGGCTACAATGTACAATTTTCAAAACCTGGATTTGTTACGGTATAATTAATATACAACTTACAAGTCACAGAGTTCTTTGCATTTCCACAAACACAATTAGGCAACCACAATCCAGATATAGAACAGTGCTAGCCCTAGCCCCACACATCCATACCTCTTGGATATAACTCCTTCTACTCACAACTTCTGCAACTACTAGTTGGTGTCTTCATCTCTTGTCTTGCTCTTACTAAGGATGTTTCCTTCTTACCTCAGTTATCCTAATGTCTTGACTTGCCTCCTTTTTGTGTGGAGAGACACCTGCCCCTTTCCAGGCAGAAAGATGCTCCATCCCTTTGGCTGACTTCAGAGAAACCCTCCTTGCATTGGCTCTGAAAGGTAAAGGATGCTGGGTCTCTAGGGTCATCATTTGATCATGGCATGCTTCCTTGGGCAGACATGTGCTAGGCATTCTATTTTTGACTACCTCTCCCAGGACCAAACAGATGACTTGGAATTTGCTTTTGACAAAACAAATATACCTGCTTGCCAGAGATCTCATTATCTAAGGATTGGTTTAAATTCCAAATCTACATAGGGTTAAATCTACATACTTGCTCCAGCTCCTCTTTAAGAATGTATACACGGACTTTCTCAAACACCAGGGACACCCTGAGCAGGAGCCTTCTCAGTCTCCATGCTCTTTGGGCTGCATGTTGCTTCTCTTCTTGGTATTTCTTTACTCAAATCAATATCATCCAATTAGCTGTTTAATGTCTTGAGATGATGATGGTTCCCTGTCACAAGTCTTCAGTATTTGTTCACTTGATAAAGTCTGGGTCTTTGTCTGGTAAATCAATAACCACCTGTGCCCACCCAGGTTTGAGAATAGAGTTGGTATGTTTGATATGTTCTATCTACATAGACCCACATACCTACCAAAGTAAGAACATAGATCACTTATCCAGAGAACACGTCTCAAAATGTCCCCATATCTTGCTGTCACAGATGGGCTATTTAATACCATGGAGAGGTTCTGAGGCTTAGGAGCCCACCTGCCTAAGGAAAATATATTTTGAGAGCAGAGGCTGAATATAAGCCTAGTGAAGAGCCAGTGCATTGGAGGCCAATCTTTCTGCTCACTGGCACCCATGATAGACCCCGCTCCCCACTGGCTTCTGGGGTATTAATGGTGTTCTACCTTCTCACGTCCTTTTTAGGTCTATTGTTGCTTCCTGTTGCACAGTATGGTTGTCTCCCACCACTCATATTTACTTTCTTTTCATCTCCTCTCTGGCTTATTTTCCTCACCTCCCTATATTATACTGAACAAATGAGGAAGATGCTATGTCTATCTGTTTAGAGGGACATGGTATGGATTCCACTGTGTTAGTTACTTCTGTATTGCTATGGTAAAATACTAGAGCCAGAGGAATTTATAGAAGAAAGAATTTACTTAGATTTACAGGATTCAGAGGGAAAAGAATCCATCCTGATGGAGAAGCATGGCAGCAGTCAACAGACAGGATGGCTGGAATGAAAGCTGAGGGCTCACATCTTGAACCAAAAGCAGGAAGCAGAAAGGGCAAGCTAGGAGGGACAAGAGACTGTCCCCAGTGACATATTGCGTTCAGCAAGGCCACACCTCTTAAGCCAAACATCACCATCAACTGGCGACCAAGTATTCAAAATCTAGCGCCTATGAGGGACGTTCTGATTTAAACTGCTACACCACTATGCAGGGTCTTGTAGGAGAGAGACTAAGCCCAACTCTGAGTCCAGCAAGGATCAGTAGGCATTTATAGTGAAAGAGCAAGGCAGAAATCTGTGTGCACACGGTTACTAAAGGAAATATTGAGGATAAAGTATTTATAGGTACAGATGTGACAGGGTCACCAGTGATGTCAGCCCAGAGTGATAAGACACCAGGAGTAGTCAAAGACTTACACAGAACTGTCTGCAGGATTTCTGCTTACACTGGTCACAGGGATGGGAAGCCCATAGTCACTCTAGTCAGAATGGAATCAGAAGATGAACCATAGATCTGGTACAGAGGAAAAGTCACCATCAATACCACTACAATATTGTATTTAAAAGCAATTAATAAAACCATAATGTTTCTATATGCTTCTGTCCTTTTCAGTTTTACTCAGTGAACTTCCAACCTCTTTTTCCCTCTTTTTGATCTTTTTGATTCATCATGATAATAGTCACTCATGATCGAAGCATTTCCTTTCATTCCCGTATATTAGTTCTAGCACCCATCATTTTGGTGATACCACACAAATGTTCCCAGTCTGTGATTAGGGAATAAAGGGTGGGAGGAAGCTCTTCTAAGATTACAAAGCCTTGTTTGTCATCTGCCTGACTCGGCAAACTTTCAATCCACATTTGAAGCCATTTAATCCCTATGTGTACATTCAGCTCAAACTCCCAGACCAATCTCCCACAAATAGTAGGAATTTGGGAAAATTTGACCAACAATGTCATATTAGGTCAATGTACTCTTTGTTCTCTGACTTTGTACACTAGACAAATACATAATTTTTCTTTTCTTTTCTTTTCTTTCTTTTTTTTCAAGACAGGGTTTCTCTGTGTAACAGTCCTGACTGTCCTGGAACTCACTTTGTAGACTAGGCTGACCTTGAACTCATTGAGATCCTCCTGCCTCTTCCTCTAGAATTCTGGGATTAAAGGCATGCGCCACCACTGCCTGGCCATAACTATTCTTATGACTGAATTTGTGCCAGAAACTGGCTCTCCTTAGTTTCCAATAAGTGTCATTAAAATCTACTACGTATGTATGTATGTATGTATGTATGTATGTATGTATGTTATGTATCTATATCTATCTATCTATCTATCAATCTATCTACCTATATATCTATCCATCTATCTGTCATCTATCATGATTTGTTCTTGTGTGTTAGCTCCCTTAAAATTTGAAGTTGTTGGTACAAGATGTAACCTTAGTATTTAGCTCTGTGTTTACTCACTTGGTAGCTGAGACTATAATCTTTGGGGCAAGTTTTTGGTGATCTTGAGACTTCATCCAAAGGAGAAGATTTTTTTTTTTTTGCATTAAAGGGGGATTTTCTGGCCAGGCATGGTGGTATAAATCTGCAATCTCAGCCCAGGGTGGCTGAGGCAGGAGGACTAGAATGAATTAAAATTTAGCTTATCCCATCCTTCTCGGACTATACAGCAAGGCCCCTGTCTCAAATGTTGTTTTGGTTCTCCTCCATCCCTACTCCACTGGAGTAAGTAGCCCCTAAACCAGGACTTAGAACTGGTCCAGCTGAAGGAAGGCAGACATCACCTCTTCCCATGTAGTTTTAATGTTATAGAAAAGGATGACCTTGAATTCTTTACTTTCCCTAGTGAACTTGTAAGTATGGCTACAGTAAAAGAAAGACCAGACAAGCACAAAATCTATGGGATGGATAATATTTTCTAATTAAATAAGTAATCTTGACTTACATCATGTCTGAAACCATATACACACAAATAGCACTATATATATATACATATATATATATGTATATATATATCTTTTCAAGACAGGGTTTCTTTGTATAGAGCAGGCTGGCCTTGAACTCATAGATATATCTGCCTCTGCCTCCCAAATTCTGGGATTAAAGGTATTTACTACCATTTCCTGTCTGTAAAATATATTTAATTATTTTTATTTATGTTTTTAAGATAGGGTCTCCCTGTGTAGCCCTAGTTGGCCTTTGACGCATAGGGATCCTTTTGCCTATGCTGAGTGCTGTGATTAAAGGTATTCACCACTGTTGTAATTTTTTAAAAAAGCGGCTTGAGAGAGAAAGAAGCCGTGCAACAGAGTTCAAGGGGAGGTTTTTTCTTTCTTTCTTTCTTTCTTTCTTTCTTTCTTTCTTTTTTTTTAATTAAGGGAAAAGTATCGAAGAAAGGGGAAAGGGGGAAACCAGCTTCTGGGGTCAGGAGCAGGAGGAAAGAGGAAAGAGAGGCAGAGAGAGAGAGATAGAGATAGAGAGAGAGAGAGAGAGAGAGAGAGAGAGAGAGAGGAACAGATAGAGACAGGGAGAGAAAGAGAGAGGGATGGGAGGTGGGCAGGACCCTTTTAAAAGAGAACATATTGAATATGCACAGGTGGTACTCTTAGTGGCAGCAGCTGAGGGTGTATCTTGTCAGAACTCCAAAGGCAGGCCAGTAGAATACCTAAATACTAACAACCACCACATAGGCTCTGTCTGGCCTTGAACGTTTGCCCATCCTTTCACCTGCTTCTTCTGCTTCCTCGGTGCTGTGTATGGCACCAAACCTGCCTCAATATTTGCATAATTAATTAATGTTTTAGTTTTTGAGATGAGGTCTTGCTACATAGCCCTCAACTCACTAGGATCTTGCTATATTTTACCCTTTCCAAGTACTAGGATTATGGGCCTTGGCCACCATGCTTGGTTTATACTCAAGTGAGCTCTGACTATTGTTGGGCAACTTTTTGTTTATTGAGCAAGTTTGTTCCACCAGTCTTCATTATGGTGAGTTCAAATCTCATGATGACTTCCCTTCAGTCCTCTAACTTTAGCCCTAGACC